TGTACTCAGGGCTAGGTTGGGGTAGGGATGGGGCATGACCTTTTTTGCAACCTCATTGTTTTTTTCATTTTGATCTATCCTGAGCTGGGGGGGGGGAGGGGTTCAGGGTTTGTATTGACTAATGAATTAACTGTCAGAAGAATACTTATTTCACTCTCTTGTCTCCAACTGCTGGACCATGGCCAAATAATTCTGTTTACCTAGGCTATTTTAAATACGGTACCTAGACTTTCCCCCTATTTCAAGGTGTAGCTAATTTAGCAAATACATGTATGTCTATTTGTATTGTTGTGACAGATTTTTGATATTTTAGCTTCAAGCTTCAAACTATTAGAGGCATTCAGAAGAACTCACGTTTACTAGCCAAGAATTAAAAGTATATTCTATTCAGTTTAAACCCAGTGAATATTTAAACTTAACAATAGAATGTATTGTTTCCATAACAAACCTGAATTATAAACCTAGTTGGTATCTCTGCAACATCAAATCTTCTAAACTTGAATGCTGTGAATATTTTCCTTTTGACAGTAATATACATACATGATGTAAGCACTCATTTGCATCTGTTTGCTAATTCATTTCAGGGCTGCATCATATTCTGAATTAACCATGGCATAGGGGGGATAACTGTCACTTTTTTGGCAAAGTGTATCACTGCAATTCTCAGTCATGAGTTTGGAAGAGGTTCGTCATATTTTGGATCCTAATAAAAGGAGGCCTGGCCAGAGAAGTGATGAGACCAAAGCTCAGTATTTCTGGAGAAAACTTCGACAGTGTGTGAGGCCCACAGTGAAGAATGTCTACAAAGCTGACCTGAAAAGTGTTGTCATTGGTCATGGAGTATACCACATGAGGAAAGTCAATCACACCGAGGAGATCACTGAAGTATTATTTCAGAAAGAAGAGAAAGTAAGATATCTTTTTGTACATACATGTATTGTTACAGTCATATTAAATCATATTGCCCCATAAAAATGTAGTGGGCTTTTTCATTTGTACAAATTTAGAATATGTCACTAGATAATTCAAATATAGTGAGTATGTTAGAATGTCACCAGGTAATAACTTGATGAGATAGAATTGATGAATATGTTGTACATAATGTATGTCAGAATTATTCCTGGAGCCAGTGTTCTGTTGACAGAGTGCTCCACTTTCCTATATATCGGGTATACATTTTGTAAATGTACATGTACTCATGAATAGGCTCCAACAAGTTTCTGTTTCTGTCATAATTTTGAGAAAAAAAAAATCAATTTTATAAAAAATTAAAACCATTTTCATGACAATTTTAAAATAAAAAAATAAAAAAAATACACCTGCATAAATTTTGGGAAGCAAATTGACCAGAAATATTCTATCTTCTTGGCCTTGTAACTTCTATAACTCACTGTTTTCCAGTCACTTGTGATCGAATTTGTCCTTCTGTCATTGTCTCAATTCCTGGCTCAGTTGATATAATATCACATTTTTTGAAGAAAATCAACAATTTTCAACACTGTACAAACAAAGAAAAATTCATTCATATATTGAATACAAACAACAAATATTTACTAAAAGAGCTTATCAAATTTATAAAAACAGCAAATACCATTAGAGAAAATGGATCATTAATATTTCTTTACATTATTACATGTAACTGTATTGTACCTAGTAGATTTTAGATATCTAAGTTGATATGTTTATTTTAACACCTTTATTACATTATGTAAACCAAAATAGATATGTAATTCATTCTACATGTATAAGTTGTAATAAAGAACTATCTTATCTTATCTTATCTTATCTAATAACCTACTTGTTTGATTGTATAATCATTATAATTACAGATTTTTTTGTTCCCATAGGAATATCTTACCATTACCAAAAGTGGTATTAATGTATTTCATATAGATGGACGAAAAAAAGATTTCATCCAACCTGAGCAGGAGTTTGACAGACTGGTCTACGCCCAGGAGGTCAATGAATTTATTGGTTGGTGTTGGGGCGGAGAGGAACTTCTATTACTTTCAGAAGATTTTGAACTTATTTCTATTGGCAAAGTACCACACAAGATATACGCTGTTGTTTACAATGAGCTTTGCAATGAAATTGTCACTACTGGTGAAGGTAATGTCACGGTAAGTAGAAAATTAAGTCAATGTATCGGTTACATTGTGTACATCTATTGTTGTTCTTGTTAACAATTTCTTAGTGGAAAATTATAATACAATTTTTTTTTATTTTGATTATTTGAGCTTGGATTTGTATAAAATCTTGACCAAATTTGATTTTGATATGTGTTTTTTTGTTCCAGTCCTGGAGCTTTCGATACGCTGCAAAGCATGTGATACCGAGAAAGATGGCCAAAGCAGGACTAACACCACAGGATATATTCACATTGTTATGTCTGGAGGAAACTGCCAGTAGATCACAGAGAGCATTTGCTGTGTGTGATACCTCAGTGGCAGTGTTTAACCTCCATCAAGGAAAACTTATTTCATACAAGAAAGATTTGCATGTCAGAAGCATCACAAGGTGAGACCAAGGTTATTTTTTCTAATTTTTAGAAACAACTTAAAATTTGACTTTGTCCAATACCCACATGACCTGATCTGATTAATATTTGATGTAGGTAGAGGCTCTGGTTCACCAGCCATTTTTCCTCCGATAGGATAGGATCTGTTAATTGGTGTGGACTTTCCTAGAATGTGTCATATAACATACGTTTTGATTGGTTGCTGATCATACTGATCATAGAAAAGAACCTGAAATGAGATTTTACAGTAATTTTGCTATCAGCAATATTCGTAAAATTAATTAAGTAATTAAGTAGTTTAAATTCCATAAAATTAAGAACAACAAAAAATAGAGGCTATTCCTACATACTGAATTTAAAAAAAAAATACCTCTAACTGGATATTGTACTGATGTACTGACTTTATAGTATGCTCAATCTCATATAACAAAGCATTGGGTGAAGGTCACAGGCTTGATAACTCAGGGTTTGTAGTCATAGTATATTGATCAGTTGTTTAGATATTGTAAAGGGATATTTTGGTGTGGCATCGGTAAAGATGAGAAACCTGATATGTATAAAGTAAAACACATATGTGTCATATAACCAGGTATTTCTTCTTTTTCCCCTTCTATAGCTTATTATTCTTCAATCCATTGAAGAATCTGATCACTGCAGCACGTGACGGGTCTATCAAGATGTGGGATGAATCATGGCATCTGAAACTGGTGTTTGTCGGACACAGTGGTGCCATTTCCAGTCTGTCTGTGTATCCATATGGTCCATACATCATGTCGGCATCACATGATTGCACTGTTAGGGTATGGAGTCTGGAAACATGTGATGAAGTGGACTTGTAAGTATGCATTGAATAATCATTTATATACTAGGTATTTAAATATGTGGGGGGAGATTAAGGTTAACCAGTGCTGAGGTGACATTCAAAGTACAAATCGGCGAAAGTTACATGTAATTATTAAAGTAAGAAGAAGAAAAAGTTCATATTTTTGTGCCAGGCACCGGCCATTGAATGTCTCTGTTGTGTCTCTTTACTTTTTTTAGTCCCCATTCGAACGCAGTACGAAAACAGGGACTTATGTTTTGACCCTTGTGTGTCCGTTCTTCTGTCTGTCCGTGTGTCCGAACCTGTATCTTAAAAATGGCTTGACCAATCATAATCAAACTTCACACATACATCATACATGATAGATGTATTATACATATACACATCAATTTGTTTCACTATCTGATTCAAGATGGCTGAATGGCGGCCATTTTTGTGCTAAAAAATTATCCACCATAGTCTCCTGTCAGTCAAAATGACTATTTTGAACTGTAGGCATTAATCAGCGATTCTGCCAATGACGGAGAGATAGAATCTAGGTCAGGGGAAGCCCCATGACCCCAAGATTCTTTTCCTTTACGTCATGAACCACGGCTGGCCGGCTAATCACTTTGATTTTCTCTCCGTCTCGAATGGAGATGAAATCTAGCGAGCTCTGCCTGGATCGCTTTCATTTTTCCTGTCCGGGTTTCTAGCTTGGGTTGTTGCTGCTGGGCGGCATGCGACATTGTAGCTGGTAGAATAAGATTTTCTTGTCATTTTTACCCTTGTGTCGTTTTCCCCTTTGTGTGTAGTATTTTTCACAACAAAGAAATAAAACCCGGGTGTCGTAGCTTAATCACTTGTTGATTGCGTTACGTCACCTTTTACTACTGTAATTCGCTTCCCTCATGCATGTCGCCTTCATTAGATACTTGATCTACGTATTTAGAAATGAATAGATGCAATGACAACTCCATGACTTGCTGCCATTTTTTGGTCTCCTCGTTTTTGAGTCGACTGTGCAGTGGTTATATTCAGAATTTACCAGCATAGAACCTGCATCCGATATGCTTTTTTTGCCGTGGCTGCGTGCAAGGTTTGGGGTCTTTGCCTTGAAGGCGTGCATTTTTCACTGGAGTTCTGAGGCCTGAGATATTTTTTTTTCAGAGCCATCAAATCGCTGAGACTGACCATGTCGCTCGTATTTTCACACCAAGGTCGCGCATCCAGTAAAAATCATTTAAAGTGAGTTGCGTGTTTGGCATGAGTGGAAAGTCCTCACACTCGGCTACCAGTGCTTCGCGTACACGGACGTCGAGTAAGAGGCCTGACAGTGGAGGTACCGATATTTTTTTGGTCTCTCCCCGCTGGTCGGAGGACATCCTCACAGTCTGTGTTTTCAAGCGGTGGTTTACCCAATTTTACCGGCTACAGCGAGGCTGTGCCCTTGGAGGTTTTTTCCTGCTATGGGGCCCGTCGCGGGTCCCAATGTGAATCCTTTCTCGCACGGCGCCGGGTTTGCCTTCGAGTTGAGGGCTAAATTGCGTCCCTGGCAGGCCGGGTAGATCAGACGCAGTCGGAGCGAGCTGTCTCCACTGCGGGCCCCCCGGTGGGCAAGCAGGAAGAAACACAAAAGCATTGTTTGCATTAAAACACGTTCCCAGCCGCGGCTCTCCCACTAATTTGGGTTAGGCCGAGGCTCAGGCTAATTGCACTGGGTCTCCTCTGGAGCCTCGGGCACTGAATGCCAATGGGGTGCTGGCAGCCAAGCCTCCGATCTCGGGGCAGGGTTTCAGGGCAGGGCACATGTTGACCCCCCCTACTTTCTCAGCCAGCCAGGGTTCGTTGCGCGGTAATAGTACAACGATGACGAATTTACCCTTGAGTCTGGTCTCTGCTGTGGGTTTTGACTCCCTTCTCACTGACCCACGGGTGTCCCCAGAGGACCCGACCCTGTCATGAGATGCACAGTCGAACACGCTCTCTCTCACATATTTAAAGTGAAAAGGAGACACAGTACGCTCGCGTCGGATACAGCCGGTACCTCAGGCGGTCCCTCAGAGTCTTCAATCCGTAACGACTCAGTGAGCCACACTTTTGGGGGTGATACGCAGTTTCATCGATCTTAGTGATACAATGTAAATACCCCCACCCCTGATCCTAAGGCGACCACTTACAGTTGCTTTAACGCTTATGGGATCACAAAGCAACCCCGTCGGCACGTCTCTCCATGTCCGTCCGAGTGCGGAGTGGGACACAGGGCATGCAAACGGTGTTGATGGCGGACATTGGTCAGCCGCAGAGGAGGTAACGCTTAAGGCCCCCGGGTGGGGTAAAATTGTATGCAACACTTTCCGCTGGACCAAACGCTACCCGGTCGGTGTGGTTTCGGGGTCAGTCCTCAAAGTGTGGGATGAGACCAAAATACCCCCAACCGGATCCCAAGGCTTCTTCCCCAGACCCCGGTACCACAAATTTTCCGTTGGGCAGACCGGGTAAAGGAGACAGCCGTGTTCCATGGGCGTTCTCGCCAGCTCAATCTGAAACGATCTATCACGCCCTGAGGGCAGAGTTGCTTGAGCGCATTATTGTGCACGCCCGGGACTCTGAGATCTCAGAGGTGGAATGCACCAGCCTCCTAGACCAGGCGACACTTTTACTGGTGGGCCACCGCACATCTACGTGCGACATCGCCTAGTGTCACCTGGCTCTCTTGGCCAGGGCCACTACTGTGCAACGAGACGCGGCCTTAGACGTGTGTGTTTTCGCCGGCAAGCTGAGTCAGGGGGCACGTCATACCTACGTTTTGAATGGTGGGTACAGCCTCGGAGCTTCAAGTGTAATGAACCAGAGGGTTCAGATCGAATTCGAAAGCGGAGGGCACCCCAGGCACAGAAAACACGCCCTAGGGCATCATCCGCTAGCCAGAGTCAGCCAGGAGGCAAGCGCAAGCGCGCCCCCAGGGAGGAAAGAGCCAGGTGGTGGCTCCTCACCCTCCTCGGGCAGTCGTCTAATTTTGACAGCCCGGAGGGTCAGGAGGAATAGCTTCTCTGCCCAGTTCGAGCACGGAGTTGCTACCAAACCGTACTAAGGATTCAGAACGGGGTTCCAGGCATATGTCTTTGTGTTGCGGCCCAGGCATGCAGGATAGGCCGGCCTTCCCAACTTCCATAACCAGGTGCGACTGTATTAGAGGTCTATAATACTTTAACTTCCTCGACACAGAGATTGCAGAGACACCAAGTATGAGCGCATGAGGTCTGTGCGATTGCCAACTCACTAGTGCTAGCGTCAGGTGCCCCCCCTCGAGCACACACAGAGGGCAGGCTTCTGGAGAACGCAGAAAGTCTTTATCAACTACCACCTAAGAGACACCTAATCCATTGAGGAGGGTCTCTTTAGGTTGGGTACCGTCGTAGCGAGTCAGTCTTGGTTTGCTGACCCAGCCCGAACGACCACAAGGGTCCCTTGCGCATAGGCAATAAGTCAGTCTCAGCATTTGATGCGGACAGATTTCTCTACCATCAGCACTCCCTGGAAGCTCCCAGGGCCCGCTATTCGGCCTATGCCCTCATGCAGAACTGTTTCGGTCTTTACTTCGAAAGCTTACTACCCCTAGAATTGGGTTGGGGTCTAGCTATCTCGGGCACACCGAACCCTGTCACCGTAGCAGCATTTTGCTCCGGGGACAGCACAGGCAAGGTAAGACACCACTCTTTTTGGGTCTTAACTAAGGTGTTGAGTGATTACTGTAGAGTGTTTCATCCCGGACTGGGAAAAGACTTTCATCATTTTTCTGTTTGCTCAGAAAACTCGCCACCTATCGGCGTCTGACTCTGCCTACAGTTCAAAATAGTCATTTTGACTAACCGGAGTCCAGGTGGGTAATTGAACGTAGTGAATTTAGGTGTGTTCATACTAGCAGGTGATAATTAGCATTTCTCCGAACCCGCCTATTCACATAGTTCATACCTACCATAGACTCTGGGTCCCCCCAACCACCCCACTCCGTAGCGTTGGTCTAAGTCCTTGAGGCGGAGAAAAAGGAACCAGTGGGATTAGCCAGCCGTATGGGCGCCGCCATATGGCCATGGTCACGTGGTACGTGACGTAAGGGAAAAGAATCTTGGGGTCATGGGGCTTCCCCTGACCTAGATTCTATCTCTCCGCCCTTGGCAGAATTGCTGATTAATGCCTGCAGTTCAAAATAGTCAATTTGACTGACCGGAGTCTATGGTGGGTATGAACTATGTGAATAGGCGGGTTTGGAGAACCCTCTGCCTAAATCAAGCATTTCTCGGCTGTTTACAGATGGATTTTTCAGATAAGATTCAAAATGGCCGACTGGTGGCTATTTTGTTTTAATGAATGTGATTCTCGTGCCATATCTTTGACTTGCTTTGACTGATTATGTTCAGATTTTTAATATTCATTATTCATTATGTCATAGATAAACAGATATATTGGTTTGATAATTCTATTCAAAATGGCCAAATGGTGGTCATTCTTCTGCTAAAAAAATCATCAAATATCAAGCATTTATGGATGGATTTCCTTCAAACTTGGTACATACATAAGACATTACGGGTTCCTGATGCATGTTATTTTATTTTTCAGATTGGATTCAAAATGGCTGACTGACAGCCATTTTGTTTTAATGATTGGGCTTCTAGAGCCATATCTCTGACATGCTTTGACTGATTATGTTCAAATTTTATATATTTGTTATACAGCATGTTATAGATATAATAA